TCTTGCACTATGAGGGTTGATTATATATTTATATGCATTCTCCCGATTAAAAGTGATTTTATAAGTTCAACTTAGTATACATAAGTGAAATATTAGAGTATATTTACTATATGTAAAGGCAGCGTTAAAATTTTAATTAAATTTTGTGAGTTTTGGATTATAAAAATGACATCTTACTGAATTCTTGATAAATTATTTATATATTACATAAATTTTAAAATATAAATATAAAAATTTTAATCAAAATTACTAAATTAACTATATCGAACACTTACACGATTATAGTTCCGTCTATATAAATTGATCGGCTCTTGATCTTCGCAGGAGGAAATTAGAATATTAGACCATTATATATTCTCGTCCTTTCCCCCTTAGATATAACTCAATTCATTCTCAAATGACAACTAGCTCAGAAATTCCGTTGAGGATATTCAAAATTTAATATATACGTATGAAAAATAATTTGTAACTTATATACTTTATATAATTTTTTACATATATAGTACTATAATTTTTTGACAAAAAATATTTGACTGGCCGTTCTTCCCTACACGTGGCTAGGCCTAATTGGCTAGATATACCTTAGTAGGTTTGAAGTTCAAGTCCAATAATCTGAGTATAGTGGAGCAATCATGCCTATCAACGATAGTATTGACTATGAACAATATCATATATTTAATTGCGTATAATGTGCCCTATAGATGATTTGAAGTCCTATGATATATCTTATATTAAAAAAATATATCTTACTTAGTGGAGAATTCATGCCTTGGACTCTATAAGGTAGTTGAGAACTTTTTTGACAAAAGAACAATGATTTCATGCATTAAAGGAATTCTTTCTTGAATAACATTGTTACTAGTAACCCCAAGATTAAAGTTTTTGATAAAAGTTACCCCATTCTTTCCTTTTTATTTATTTACTTTTAGCCTTTTGCACACCTATTAAAAAAGCTATTTTGGAATTTGAATTAAAAATGCTATTGTCTATATTAAATTTAGGGAAATTTCGTAATTATACGATTTAATATAACATAATCTCTAAAATATCTCTATCATTTGAATTAATAAAAAAAAATCTCTTTTTTCCTTCTCTCTCTTAACATCCGAATACATTACTCCACCTCTATCAAATATAGTACAACTTTGTTTGTCTACAATATATTTGATACACATATTAATGTTGATATATGACCTCAATTATTTCAAACCTAAATCAGTATGTATCTGGTTTATAGTTATGTATCTTATACATAACTTATGTATCGGTTGCTATGTATCGGGCAAAGAAACAATGTATCCGTGAGTTATAAAAAAAAATTGAGATAGGATGTAATTGGTGCACAAATTATTGAGAATTCTGTACTTTATACTTAAATCTATCTCTTTTGAAATTATACAGAGGAAAAAAAATTAATACCTTCTTAGTTACCTAAAAACTCACTTATTTTATCTAGCAAAAGGATGCATGGAAAGTTACAATATTTTTTTATGACATAATTTAACTTGACAGCAATTTTTTCATTAATCAATTAATGAAAATTTCCCCTAATTAATTAGTATTCTATTTGTCCTTATTTATGTGACATAATTTAACTTGACGCAAGATTTAAGGGGGACAATAAAAAGATTTTTGAAACGTGTAGTCTAACACAAATCTAAAATATTTAAGTGGCTAGCTATAAATTATTTCATTAAGGATAAAAAGAGAATTTTAATTTTTAATTATGGAAAAATTTGCCCCACAATTTTAAGAAACTGCAAATATTATAGCTTTAGAGCTAGCACATCATTTGAGCTAAATTACATGCATCCTGTATTGGGGTTGTTGAAAAAAACACAATTAAATGAAAATTTGAATAAACTATTTTTTAACAAATTATAGCAGCCCTTTGGTAATTAGAAGTGATGGTTATGCATGTAATCATTTCTAAACTTTATTTAATTCCTAAGCATGTTTTGTCATTTATCGCTGCACCTATTTTCACTCTTCTAATTTATAATATACACAAAAAAAAAAAAAAAGTTGAGAAAAATATGGTAATAATGATTAGAAATTGATGATAATTATTTCCTTTCGATTATATACATTGCTAAAGGAATCTTGTTATAGTGTAGAGTTGGTGTGGCACAACTATAATAAGCTTAATCAAATATGTTTTGTTTTATTGTTGAACTGTGTCATAAAAAAATAGAGACACATGAGTTGACAATATAACAAAAAATGTGCTTTAATTTCAAATAAGTTAAGGTTAATTATGGTCAATTATATTGAATTCTATTAATATTTTTTACTTCATTTAAATTCATCTCAAGCTAATACTATATAAAATTAAAATGAAAAATATTTTTAAAAAATTATATTTTCTACTAACATATAAATCTCTAAACAAATACATAGAAAATTTATTGGAGTTGAAAGATTTTTAAAGGTTATTTGATTAAATCAGAAATCAAAATTCTCTCTATTAATTGTAGATAAAACTACTCTTGGCAAGTCCTTTATCAACATGTGAAATAGTTATTAATGCACTTTTTATAAGGATGTGTTGATAGATATAGGATTAACATAAAAAAATTATGGGTTGATACAAAGTTAAAAAAAATGTATATTTTATGATCAATTGGAATATTGCTTGCAAGAATAAAAGAAAACTTGATTTGAGTACTAGAAAATGTAAGAAAATAATATTGCAATACTCACAAAGTATGACTTCAAACTAGAGTTGTATCAATTCAACCTAGCTCAAATTTAATGAAGTAGGATAAGTCAATCCTTTAGTTGAAAGGAACTTAAAATGATTAGTTTAACACAATTCTAAAAGTTAAAGGTCGACGTCTAGGGAGGAATATCCCTTATTTTTTCTAATATTTTTTTAATATTTAAAGTAATGAAACACTAAATTCTTTCATACTCAAATAAAAGAAAAAAAATTCAAGATCAATAAAATTTAAAACTTTGTTCGCGTGGCTTGGTCCTCAGACAAGGACATCTCTTTCACTGCTTTAGTCCTAAAATTCATTAGGTCATGACATTTGTTTGATTCAACTATAGTAAAGGTGAGTATAGCTAGAGGATAAAGAAGACGCAATAAATGAGGTGATTAGTTTCTTCAAGAAACAATTTACAAATGTTGAAAATTCCGTTGACTTTTAACTTCTATAAGAATTAGATAGAAAATTAGGTTTTAGGCCTAGAATTCTTAAACTAAAAATATATCATTTGGGAGTCGAATAACTGTCCATTTCACTTGTAATTATTTACTTAAACTAATGAGTGCAATACATGTATCTCTTATACACATATTTATCGCACTACATCAAAAATGATCACTAGCGGTAATTAATTCTTAATTGCCGCTAAATATGTATTTTTAGCGGCAATTAACACTCTTTGTAGATGTCCCTAAAACCTTTAGCAACATCGGTTCTAATGTCACTTAACTAATGTCAGTAAAGACTTTAACACTCTTTATTAATGTCAATATTTATTGCCGCTAAAAGTTGTTTTTGTTGTAGTGTCACTTTACTATATAACTAAATAATATGTATTGTTACTTTGATTTTTTACCATATATTTTTTTTAAAAAAATTTAAGCTATTTGTGTGAGTTGAAAGAGGTTTGATTGGCTAGTAATTAACAGCTAAACTTCCACTAGGATAAATAGATAGAAAAATAGAGAAAGAGATTTAATTAAGAATAGGGAGACAATGAAAATGGGAGGTGAGTAGATGTCACAACTTTTAGCAGTAGAAATCATTTTAGAAAAGGGGTGTTGGAGGGTAAGTTCAAAGGTATATCTTGTGGATAGATTGATGGCAAGATAAGTAGCATTTTCATAGTCATTGACATCATATTGTTTGCCATATAAGTAGACTATCTCATTAACCCTTTTCACTTATTCTTTTTCAATCATCACTTCTACAAATAATAAAAGGCTAAAAGCAATTGGAATTAGAAAAAGAACAAAAAAAACTTTGAAGGAGTACTCCTCTGAACATAGTTATCTCAAATTATTTATCATAAAGTTCAAGACAACATTTATTATTCTTGAAAATTATAAACATCTTAAGTAATACTTTCTCCGTTCTTATTTATATGTCACCATTTTAGAGTTTACGTTCCTTAAGAAAGATAAGTTTATCATTGCACCCTTATTTAATATTCTCTTGAACTCAAGTTTTCAATAAATGAACATGAATTAGTTTATTTTGATTAATTAAATTGACCAATGAACATGAATCAATCATTTAACTTTTCTATGTTGATCAAATTCATACTTTTAGGGCTAATAATTTTCATTGATAAAATAGGAAGAATTGTATCATTTATGCTATTTTTACTACTGTTATTAATTTATTGGATCAATAGATCTTTATAAACACAAACATTTATTTTAAAAAAGAACATGAAAATATGTGATTTGTTAATGCAACGTCTTGCGATATTTTGTTACCTTGTGTATGGACTATAATTTGCACATTTGATAAAAAAAAATTTAAATAATTTTCAGAAATTATGAGAAAAATATGATTTTTTGAGATTGAAATTACGTCTCCAAATAAAATTTCTAACTTCAAATAAACTTATTTTATAGTACTACCTTCTTTAACTAAAAAAACAATTTATGTAGGGGAGTGATTTTCTAGTCCCTAAAAAGTGAATTTTGGATCCAAAAAGCCGTGCATTTGAAAGACTATATTACTAATAGTATTTGCTGTTTTTTTTTTTTATATAAAGAGAAGATGAAAATCAAAATCACTAGTCCATATGCTCATCTGTTCACTTTTTTTTCCTAGTACTAGTATTATATACATATTGCTTTTCAACTTAAAACAAAGAAGCAGTATATTCAAAATATTGAAATAGTGATGGAGGTGAATGTTGCAATTCACAAGTTAACTCTAAAACGCCGTTTCTACTCTTCCCAGAAAGCTTACTGTTGATAAATTAGCTAAAGATTCTTCCTTTTTAAAGTTTCTTCATCCACTCACTTCAGATTTTGAGGTGTTACTGTCATTTTGTAGAAAAATTAAGAATTAATTTGTTAGTTTTCTTGTTCTTGGTCTTTATAGGGTAATAAAGATTTGATTTTTATTCCCAAGTTGATACTGTTGTTCAAGATTATTGTTGTTTGGTATGGAAATTTGCATGGATAGTACAATTCTGTTTGTGGGTATTGCTTTTCTTGGATTCTTGGTTTCATTTTGTGTTGCTGATTACTGAATAGGGTTAGTTGGTTGTGTTGGTTCAATCAAAATTTTGACCTTTTTTTTTCTGGTGTGGGGTTTGGTTTTTTGAGCTCTGGGAAGAGGGAGAATGGGAAAAGATGATGGTATGCTGCTTCTTTCAACAGTAGGACCGCCAATAAAGCGGCGAGCAGGGTTGAGAAGGAAGCAGGCAGGCAGAGGATCATATAGAGGAAGTTAGGTATTGGGATAAGGGAAGAAAATTGGGGATTGTTAGGGTTATTTGAGGTTTAGGACTGGGTTTTGTTTTGAGAGTTGGTGGTGGGGATTTGTGTGTTAAATTTTTTGGTGACTAGGGAAAGAATATGGCAAGCCAACTGCAACAAGCACTGAGGAGCCTTTGTTGCAATACTCCTTGGAAGTATGCTGTGTTCTGGAAGCTCACATATCGAGCTCGAATGTGAGTTCTTTTGCCTCATTCATCAAGTTTTTAGCTTCCTGTTACTGATATTATTTCTTTTGGTATTGCTACAAAATGGGTAAAAGTGAAACAAAATATATTTTTGTATGACATGCTTTTGCTTTTCTAGTTAACTCAGAACTTTGATTAGCTTGGCCAGAAAACGAAAAGGTTTTTCCTTTCAGATTTAATGCTGGAGTCATCCAACTTGTGTTTTCATAATCATTTAATGAAAAAAGAATCTAATCTGAAGTATTGAGACTCCAAAATGCACATAAGGAATCTAGATGCAAAATCTGTTTTTCTCAGTTAGCAGGAGGTTCAGGATATAAAGCTACAATAGCTTCCCCTTCAACTGAGAAATAAATGCTTGCATACACTAGAAACTACCTTTGCAGGAAATTTTGGCCATACCATAGAGAAACATTATTTGTGGTTTTTGAATTCTATCTCCTACAAGACTAGTGCATTTGTAAAGAGTACACATACGAAGACAACCTCTTTAGAAAATTCTGGTATCCCTCTTTTACGGATATAGCACCATCTGATTAGGCCTTCATGAGACTTATAAGAATGGACCTTGATTGTGAAGCTTATTAGAAGATTGATTTTATAATATAATTGCTGAAACTTGATTTTATCAAGGACGAGGTCCATTTGAGATGAATTGATTTCTTAGTTGTGGTTGGTAATCCGGCATAACTTGGCCTTTATTTAATACCTTTGACTATAAAAGAACAACATTCCTCTCTTATCTGTTGTCCATCATGTGGATTTCATTGCAGGATGTTGACTTGGGAGGACGCTTACTATGATAACAATGGGTTTCCAGGGAAAAAATCTCCTGGTAGTACAGCAGGCAACCTTTATGATGGACATTATTCCAACAATCATCTTGGAGTAGCTGTGGCAAAGATGTCCTATCATGTTTATTCTCTTGGAGAAGGGTATGATATCTAGATGACCAGGAGCAAGTTTATGATTTATCTCATGTTGTCAATTCTAATGATGTTAAAGCTTCAGGAAATAAATATGTCCGTTGAAGAAATTGCATTTTATTCTCTATCTGTTTCTGCATGAGATTAATTCATTTCAGCATGCAAGCTTTAGTAGAAAGCTTGAGAGTATAGTTAGTTCGTCACACAGTAATTCTTTGTAGGCAATATGTTCCAGTTAGATTGAATCTACGATATAATTTCTCTCTGAGGTGGATTATGGTAATTAAATGTCTAACTATCCCCTTGGACAGTATTGTTGGGCAGGTTGCAATTACTGGAAAACATCTATGGCTTTCAGCAGACAAAGTTGCAGCTATCACCAGCTTGGCGCCTGAGGTGAGCCATTTTTTTTTAGTATGTACAATTAGCATGCTTGTGATGAATTTATGTATTAAGATGCAACAATATACTTCCTTTTATGCAAACGTGAATGTTATGGATAGAAAAAATTTCAGTTTCTAATAATAAGTACATTGACTTGGGAGAGGATCTATTATACTCGAATTCTCAATATGAACTACTCTGTGACAATTACCTCCAAAACTGTGTAATGGACTTACTTCTTGAACTATTTGGATGGTGGATAGAGTAAAAGTATGTTCCATTAGACTTCTTATTGATTTTAACTTGAAAGGTATTCCATCTTACAGAAGTTGACTTTGTCACACCCCAAATCCGGATGTGATGGCACGTGTCCATTTCCCACCGGACATGTCAGCCTAACCCAACCACAATGATAGAGAAGTAGAAATACGAGAATAAAAGATAATAAATAAGCGGAAGACTTTAATTAAGACTCAACACTACCCAGAATTTGGTTGTCACATGTACAAACCTCTAAATACAGAATTCGAATAAAAATATACAAGTCTCAGAGTATAGTTCTCGAATAGAACAAAACTGAAAGTAAAGATAACTCAAGGGCACGTTTGGAATGAACCGCTACCTCTCGAGTATGTCCCGAAGCTCAATCTGCTAAAGAAAATACTAAGCCGAATCTGAGAGAGAACTGTCAACCTACACAATTGTGTAGAAGCAAGGGTGAGTACCGAAAACCACAGGTACTCGCAAGTAACTCTAAACTAAGCAAAACTAGCAGCTACAAACAACTCCTTTCAATCCCAATCGAACCACCGAAACTTCAATCTAGCAGCAAACCAACCAACCTATACTAAACAGATCATATTCAACAGCCAGAACCAACATTATATCCTTTTCAACCTCAGATCAACAAATAAGAGCAAGTAGATCAAATTCCACATAAGAAGGGTAAACCGATACAATCCACACATCACAAACAAAGATAAGGCAAATGCGATGCAAAATGCAATAATGATGTCATGTAGTCGTGATGCATGTCTGTCCTACGATACACATCTGTTGACGTTATCAGTCCGCGCTGAATACTCAAATCAGAACCCATGGGGGCCACACATGGACCATGTATCACCGCCGGAACCAGATCCCATCGGCATCCAAATCGCTAGCCGGAGCTAGTCCATCTCGTATATCTCTAGCCGGAGCTAGTCTCAACTGTGTCTCATAGCCATCCATCCTTATATCAGTGTCTCAGAACTCATGCAACAGATAGTTCACACATGGGATGAATAATGAATATGCACATATCATCAATCACAATCACATCATAGTATTATACATCATCTGTCTCAATCATAACCATATCACGACCACATCATAGTGTTACACATCACCTGTCTCAATCACAACCATATCACGACCACATCATAGTATTACACATCACCTGTCTCAATCACAACCATATCACGGCCACATCATAGTATTACACATCACCTGTCTCAATCACAACCATATCACGACCACATCATAGTATTACACATCATCTGTCTCAACGTCAATGTTTGTATCAATCATAGCCTACTCATGCTCTTCTATCCCCTCAATATCAGTTATCACATGACTTATTCAACAAATTCAAGTCACATATAACACATTTAGCTCGTTTTATTCCCCATCTTTCATTTACAACAATTTCAATCAACAAATAAAACTCATCATCAATACCCATTACTCCCCAACACAATTAGGAAAGTAGTCATGCGTAGTCTAAGAGTTTTACAAAGTTTGGAAGCCACTTGCCTTAAAACGAACTCCAAAAGTTACTTGACTTGAGCCTTTCCTTTTCGAGTATAATCCGGATCGCGATAATCTATTCAAACAATTATTCACAATCACAATTCGAGTCCAATGACACCAAAATCAAGAAATTTAGGGAAAAAGGGCAAAACGGTCCAAAAGTCTCATACCGGAAAACGATACCCAAATCTGGAAATTTTTGATGTAAAATGATCCTTAAAGTATTTGCAAGCTAATGGTGAAAACCAATTTGAAAACGGAGTTGAAATCAATTCACAAACTCAATTTGAAGGAAAATTCACGTTCTTGAAGAAGCCTAAAATATTCGGATCCGAAACCCTGACTCGAAAATGAAATATCTCTTGAAAAACATCTTACCCATGCTTAGATAAGTTCAAATATGAAATTTCATCAAAAACGGAGTTAAGATCGACCTTGAAATTCTCAATTTATCAGACTTTAACTTTACTGGGAAAGTCCAAATTGTATGCGGTTAATATGATGAAAAATAATCGATGAATCAATAATTTTATGTTAAAATCAGTTTACCCATAACATAAGGATCGTAAATATACCTTTTTCATCAAAAAGGGAGTCCAAATCGATAAAACCCCAATTTTTCCCAAAAGGTTTACGGATAGGGAAAAAAAAACCAGATAAAGAAATTATGAGAAAATGTCGAATTGAAGATTGAATACTAACCCTCATATTAATTCAAGAAGAAACCCGTAAGAATCACTCCATTCCGATCTCTAGAACTCCCGATATGCTCAAAATACCAAATGAACACAGTCTGAGATTTTTAAAACAGTACATGACTGTTATGCACCAGAAAAACAGCAGTTAATCTTTCACTAAAAAGGCCGTAATTTCCTCATACGATAGTGAAATGACCCGATTCTTTTTTGTAAATGTCTTAAATAATGATACGGACCTGCTCGTTCAATCGGAGCTCAATTTCATGCTCGTTGCCCAGTCAAATATCATTTCTACTCGGTAAACAATTATTTCTTATTTGCGATAAAAGTCCAATCTCGGGTTAGCGAAAATGCACCAAAATTTGCAGATAAGTCCTATAATTCATGCTCAAAATTTCAGAACCTTCGGAATAATTTTTCGACCTTTAAAACTAATAATGAACCCTTTAGTTGCCACAATTTGCTGAAATAGTGTCAAAGCATCCATGAAGCTTAAAAGCTCACCCAAAACTCATTTGACACTTCCCGAACACAAACCAAATATGCTACTAGCTTGAAAATGACATTTCGGACTCAATGAAATCGTCGGAATTTGAATTCGAGGTCTCCTTGACCCGGTATTCGATAAGGCGTCAAGAAACTAACTTTAGGCTCAAAACTCGAAACGCACTCGGGGCCTCTAAAAATTCAACCAAGACTCATTCTAGACTTAGAATCACCCCTTGAATCCAACGGTGCCCTCGGAATTCCATTTCGAGCACCGGAACGTCGTTTGTTGACCAAAGTCAACTCTTGATCAAAATTTCACAATTTTAGCAACTTAGGACCTCAAATCTTCGTTTTAACTCCAAATTCAACTCCGTAAATTCTCATAGACTCGTTTCGACATTCTAAAACTGCTGGAATCGACGGAAATCCAATTCGAGTCTCGAAACTCCAAATGACTCGAAATAGCACTTTTAACCAAACTTTAACTCTTAAAAACTCAACTTTTCATCAATTTTCCTCCAAACCAACTTCGAAAATACAACAATTAGGACTCGGGGCAACTATCGGGAGGGGTAAAACGGTCATTTTATGAAAATTTCCAAAAATGACCTTTAGGGTCATTACAGACTTACCCAGCTTAAAATTGAAAATGTGATAGTAAATTTAAGGGTAGATTGTATATTGTGTACATATGGTTATTCATTATGAGTTTTTCATTTTCAGCACTGTGATGGGTGGCAAGCTCAATTTTCTGCTGGGATTAAGGTAAAGCTAACTATCTTAATCCCTCAGTTGTAATATTTTTCATGGTGATATAGTCTGCCATACATGTGCATCATATATATGGATATGGAGATGGTCAGGAAGTTTAAGATTTTGGCATCACTTCTGTTTCCTAATAGAGCACCAATGAACATCTATTTTTTATTAGAATCTTTCATTCTATTTTTCGATTAGAATTTCTTTCATTTATAATATTTTGGTGTTTGATGTATTCTTCACCTCTGATGCATATATCTCACACCATATTATTCTATTTACAACAGCTTCTGATCTTTCCGTTATTTTTCTTGACATAGCACTTTATGGAAAAAGTTAAAAGTTTTTCTCTACAATATTGCGATGTCAATAACATTTTTGATTTGATAGTCCATCACCCATTGTCCAGCAAGGGTTAGAAGTGCAAAAATTCTTGATGTGGGACCAACATGCTTGGCGTATAAAGAAACTAAGCAACTTAAAATGTGTGAGAGTTGATACTTATCATTTCGAAGAATATGTGAGTATTCCGGGGCATTTTGACATTTCTAAAGATGATTGACAACCACCAAGAATGACAGCCTACTTCCTACACAAGTAGAATCAGCATACAAGTTGTATTTGAGTGATACCTGTTCCTTCTGTCATAATTCCTTTTAAATATTGCAGTTAGACCATCTCCAACCCACCTCTATTTTACTCTTCATTCTCTATATTTGGAGAGTAAAATAGAGAATGGGCATTCCAACCCACCTCCATATTAATCTCTACTCTCTATTTATATAGGGGTGAACAGTAGTTCTCCTAATTTGGAGAACTACTATTCACCTCTCTATTTCACTTTTTCATTATTTTAATATTATTTTTATTATTTTGTAATGAACATATTATTTTACATATAATGCTATTAATTAAATATCTAATATTTGTAATTCTTTTTAAATATAATATAATATTTTAAGAAATATATTATTTAATATATACTATTTTCATCTTGAATTGATAGTATTTTAATTTTTTAAATTTTTTTATCACTAATATAATTTGAAAATCTATGATTTGAACAATTTTTAGCTAAACATAGAAAAATTAAAGACAAAAATGCTCATTTTTAACTCCGTAATGCATTAATAGAGCATTTATGGGAGCAACGTCATAATCTTGAAAGTTGATTATTTATGTAATTGTATTTCATTAATGGTTTCTTTTATTTGAATTGTCCATTAATTTGTATATTATAGAATATTTGCTTGCAATTTATGTTATTAAAAAATTTAAAATAAAATGTAAATTTATATTAAATAAAGAATTTGAAAAATAAAGTATTATATAACATGAAAATTATATAAAATGATTATTTGGGAAAAAAAGAAAAAGAAATGATATATATTATGAAATAAGAAAATAAGAATGAAATAGAAATAATAATATAATATTGAGGAGAGAGAAAAAGATTCTTTTTTAGAGAGTAAAATAGAGAATTGGATTGGAGTTGGTTGTCTGAAAAAATAGAGAACTTTATATTTGGAGAGTAAAATAGAGGATAGGGTTGGAGATGCCCTTACTGTTATAAACATTGTTTCCAACTAACTTGAACCATTTTTCATTCAACCTTTCCTCTAAATCTCTCAGCTGAATCATCTTAGGTCAATAGAGTGAGATGGAGGGGATGCAATGGTTGTGCATTACTATGATGTGTAGATGATCTGTTACATTTAAACTTAAGGTGTATAGAGGGAGCTCCTAACATTCTATCATTGACAGAGTGATTAGATTAAAGCCGAAGAACTGTGTTTTTTGTATTAAAACTGTCAAATTAAAGAAAAGAAATACCTCCTAAATTTTTATCCTACTTAAATCAGTAAACCGTGTTTTTGTGTGTTCTAAGGAAGGTCATTGAGTTTCTTCCACAAAATTCTTGTGAAATGCATGTGACAACTGACGAGTAGATCGTTTTCACATTGCTGCTAGTCCTTCAAGGCAATACAGTCATTGCATGAGATGACAAGGCTTGCATCAACTGACTTCTTGATGCTAACCTGCACATGTGAAGTTTATGAAGATAGTTTAACTTCTCAATCTTAACTGTAATTTTATCTGTCTCCTATCGTATGAATTTTATCATGAACTTTATTGGCTACATAATATGGGGCCTCAAAGAAACATTTTTTCTTGAATGCAGACCATTGTTGTTGCTGCTGTTGCTCCACATGGAGTTATACAACTTGGATCCTTGGATAGTGTAAGATGATCAACCTCATCGTTTAAGATCTGTAAATGGTTAAAGTGCAGGACAAATAGAATTTTATTTCAAACTACCTTCAGTTTTTACTTTATAATGTTTATGACAATTTTGTGACTGATCTCTTCTTGACCTGTATTTGTTTAATTTCCCATGTCTCACTATATTTTGGACTGCCTCCAATGCGTCATTTAGTTCCATTTAAAATTCATCACCTTGTGAAATGAATTTCCAACTGGTTTTATCATTTCTAGCTTAGTTAACATCATATGTTACCATTGATCTCTACAGCAGCTATCAGTAACTAGATATGCCTTGTCTGCAAATCTTATTTTCTTTCTATTAGATCCCTGAGGATTTGAGGGCGATCAAGCATATTAGAGATGTCTTTTCTGAGCTCCAGGAGTTGATGGCAAGTTGCTTGCGGAATTCGATGCAGCACAGCATGGAAAATTCTTGCTTGGTAAATTGCCTATTGCTCACTGAATTACTGTTATCACAGATCATTTACGCCTTTATCTGATGCTGTTACATTTTCCAGTCAGAGATATCGACAAGAACCTCAGGTTCAGAGGTTTTTCAAGACTGCGTAAATAATCTAGGTAGAAGTGTTTGTGAAGATGGGAGAAATATGTGGTCTCCTCTGTATACATCTGTTGAAAAATCTGTTGACCATTCTTGTATCTTCTCGCAACCTGGAGGTTTCCCAAATAAAATACTTGAAGCGGTACATAACCAAGGACTTCACAGGACTTCAGTTCAAGGATCTGTTGACTCTGAGAATCTGCTTCCGGCAAGCTGTGAAAGTTCCATTATAAAACACCAAGAGGAAGGGCAGATGTGGGAAGAAACTGATCCGAAGTTTGAAGGGCAAACTAGCAACTTGAGAGTCTTGGGGAAGGGCTCGGTAGATAAAAGTGAGCCAACGTTTAGAAGTGATGCAAGTGTTGGAAGTGTTTCATATGATGCTGGACAAGTCACTGAATTCCTTAAGCCAAATAGAAACAATCTTGCTTCTGAATCTTACAATGATCGAAACAGAATGTTGGGTTTGTTGGATCTTCCCAATGCATATGCAGATAAATGTGCTGAGACAAATTTAGGTTTTGAGACCGAGTGTAATGACACAATGGACACTCCTTTCAGGTTTTGTGCTGGCTATGAACTATATGAAGCATTAGGGCCAGTTTTCCAGAAAGGGAATTCTTCCAAGGACTGGGAGGCAGGGAAGCGGGAAGAAATGGCTGTTGACATGCTTGAGGGAATTGGCACCAGCAGTCTGGTAATGAGCAACACTGGCAATGAGCATCTTCTAGAAGCAGTAATAGCTAATGTTAACCGCTATGACAATGATTGTAGCAGTGTCAAGTCATTCTGTAAATCTGTTGATTCCCTCTTGACCACTGAAATAACTGCCGAACCTTGTAGCAGTGATATCGGCACAATCAGTTCTACAGCCTATTCATTTGATCGGGAAACATTGAACAGCTTCAACTCATCAGGTACATGTAGTATTCGGTCTTCTAGGGGTCTTTCATCAACCAGTTGTAGCAGAGGTAGCGGACATGTTGAGAGGCCACTTGAACCCGTTAAAATGCATAAAAAGAGAGCTAGACCTGGTGAAAGTTGCCGACCTAGACCCAGGGATAGACAATTGATCCAAGATCGCATCAAGGAGCTCCGTGATCTTGTTCCAAATGGTTCGAAGGTAACCTAATAAGCTATATTCCTCTTTCTGAAGTTGCTTAGTTTTTTATTCAGATGTGCTGAAACTTTTGGATGATACCACAGTGCAGTATAGACTCACTTCTAGAACGAACAATCAAACACATGCTCTTCATGCAAAGTGTTACCAAGCATGCTGACAAGCTAAGTAAATGCTCTGCATCAAAGGTGAGCTTCTCTTGCAAGTCAGTGATTTATTTTTTCAATTGACATGGTTTAAGTAATGCTAAGTCAAAGTCTGGTATTTGAAAATGATGCCCATTTACCTCCTTTTTCCCTTGAGAAAGGGAAAGGCATAACCTGAAAGCGGATTGTTTATCCTTGGTAATTAACGTACTTTTATTTATTTTCTTCTGTTTTATATATCCTAATTGGAAGCTGGGGAAGGGCTAAGATAAAAAATGCAGATATTTGCTGATGGAAATCTTCTTCCGTTCTTTGTTTTGTGGCAATCTTCTCTTGCTGATGAATCATAGCTCAAGGAAAATCAATATTTTCTGACATTTTATACATGGGGATGGGAAAGGGCGGAGCAAATACTGTTGAAATAATATGGTCATTTTTAAAATGCGGGTCCTTGGACTTCTGTAAGGTTGACTTCTCAATTCTCTTAGTTTTATTTTGTTTTTGACCTCACCCGGGGAATAATTGCTTTAGAAATAATTAGCAGAGAAAAACTGTGCTCAGTGTGATGACTTCTGAAAGTGCATCCCTGTGAAAGACCCAAATTATTGGATGTGAAGTGCTTTAATGTGTTTCTTAGTTTAAGCATCTGTTGCATGGTTCTATTGTGCCTATAACCGGCTGAGGAAGTAGCTAGTTTTATTGGTTATGGTTATCAAATTCTTTCCACTAATTTATTTTGCGTTGAACATGTTACAGCTGGTTGACAAAGAATCGGATATCTGTGGATCTTCCTCCCATGAGGTTGGTTCAAGCTGGGCAGTGGAAGTTGGAAATAACCAAAAAGTTTGTCCAATGAGGGTTGAAAACTTAGGCATGAATGGTCAAATGCTTGTCGAAGTAAGTAATGATAATTTTGATTGTGAATTCTAGCATCTTTTAATTTTAGTTTAGACTATTTGGTGAAACAGTAAGGGATGAAACATTCTTATGTGAGTCCAATGCAGATCTTCGAAGATGGAAGCCATTTCCTTGACATAGCAGAAGCCATCCGGAGCTTGGGTCTTACAATTTTAAAAGGTCTGGCTGAGGCTTATGGTGAGAGGACGCGCATGTGTTTTGTGGTTGAGGTACAATCCTGACTATTGATATGATGTTCTCTCAACCGTAAGTAGAAATTAATCTTGGTGCTCAGCAAGATATCGTATCAACTAATGGTGTATCCACTATCTACTTACTTCTTGTGTGATTCCTCATTGTCTCTTAAAGGAGTCGTATCAATATATTATAAGGACTGTGGGTCAACTAGTCCTTTATCAAACGAAAGAAAAATGAAAAGAATTACTATGTTTATAAAATATTTCCAGTATGTTTTGACATTAATGTATACATCATTATCTTTAAGAGAATGCTAAGTATTTCCTAAATAATCTTTTAATAAACACATACGTAGCTAATAAGACAATTATGGAATAAAAGGAAGAAATCCAAATTGAAAGACGATTAGGACTTAGGAGATAATGTTGTCCGCAATATGATGGAAGCAACCAAAATGAAAGGTTGCAGATTGTTATGCCAATACACTGCTTGCAGAATCAAGAATTAGCATATTCCTTTTTTCTTTTCCCCATCTGATTTAACTTATCGACTAATTCATTTTTTATTTTGCGCGACTCTTGATATATTATTACCTTTTCTTTAGGGGCAGAATGATAGAACCTTGCATCGCATGGATGTATTATGGTCTCTTATGCAGTTACTGCAAGCAAAGATCAACGTGTAGAGCTGGAAGGTCAGAATAGACATACATTTTACTAGTCAGACCGAGGTCTTGAAATCTTCAGAGTCAGGATACTGATGTTTCAAAGGTTTTCTGTTCAACATATCCGATTTCCCTTTCTAAACGAGTTGTGAAGACGATAAATTCTTTGTTTCCGGGTTTGTTTGTTTATATGTTCTTGTATTTTATGTGTGAAATGCTCTCGTGGGAGAAGCATTATGCTCTTGATGAGGTGAGGCTTTCTCGCAGAGATCCTCCACGTCAAACCAGTAGAGTAGATTAGTGGTTCGAGACACAACGAGGGTAAGTGATGAATCAGTATTGATCCCTCAAGATGATGGAGAGTAAAGGGTTGTGCTCTTCATCATGTAAACCATTTTCAGAGTGTGATTGTTTTCCAGAATTTTAGCTTTGTACATCATTGATTGACCTTAAACATAAGTTACTTTTTAGTTCCTTCTAAGATGCCTTGGCAATTCATGAAATCGAATTTATCGAATTTGAAACGATTGCAGCTTAGTAGTTTTGTACCACGAAATAATAGGACAATTTGTCTGGTTTGAGAAAAATGCAAAAGAAAGACGACTAGCTAGTTGCAATGCATAGTTACAGCCTACAAGTCTACAATCTATATTCATAATATTTGGTTATAAATTTCAAGAAAATTGGAAATGAATTACAGAACTCAATTTGATATTTTACTCTGTTAATAAACAAAGCAATGCAGTCTAACATGGCCAAATCAAGGATTTTGGACTTCTTATTATGCTACTTAATACCCTCATACATATCCGTGTATATCATTGTATATCCGTTTATCTTATGTATACCATGTATATCCACAACAAAATATTTGTATGATATACATGATATATAATGTGATATACACATATAGTAGTGGCACTTTCCCAAGTGTGAGTTTTGACTTCAATCTTGTTAAAATCGCCTCTAATCTTCTTCCTTGACTTTTTGGAAAAACTACCTAATTAGTCAAATATTCTTACCATATTTATTAATTCTTTCTATAATTTGAAATAATTACATATTGTCTCACTAATTAATAATTTCATATCAGATTTCAAGTCAGATACACCTAAATATATGGATTTTCTCTACTAGATGCACTCAAATAGGGAGAGGCGCAAGCGAGATAGGAGGGTGGCGAGCGGAATCCCCAGATATATGTGAATTACACTAGATTCATGTATATGGGATACCAGATACAAGGAGAGATGAGAGCAAGATTGGAGAGTGGCAAGCGAGATAAGAGAGAGGTGAGCGAGAGAGTCAGATACATGCAAATTCACTTGGATATAATGTATCTAGAATAATTTATACCTAATTTTGACCCCCATGTATTATGAAATACATGTATCTAGACATATCTAGACACACCATACACTTGTATCCTAAGTCCAAAGTAAGATTCGTTATATTGCAAACTAACATGAATCTAAGGGCCCGTTTGGCCATGCGATATGGTATCATGAGATGAAATTGAAGTTTTGTTTAGACATGCAATATGATATTTTTGTGTAGTATATTTTCTCATAAAGTTGTAATACTATTAAAATAGCCTCAATTGTTTATTCAATCTTATCAAATAAACAAAAAATTATAAAGTCGCATAATAAATTATTACAAAGCTATTTGTTCTCCACTTAAGTAATTGTTTCATCTAACTTTAATTTAATTTTTAAAAAAATTGAACATAAATTGTAGTGTACTAGTCTTTAATATAATCCTCCCAAATAGTACAGACAATTTCCTCACGTTGAACTTGCATTTCTCGATCATGTGACCGAGAAGACGAACCAACATTGTTACTTTGAGCCATTTGCTGGTCAATATCATCCACAACTATATTTTCATGCTCATACACCATAAATATTTCATCAGTACTTTGATATTCTCGCAAATAATTATGTAACACTGCACAAGCTATGACAATTTTCACTTGTGTATCAATATCATAATGGTTCATGCCTTGTTTCAGTATTCTAAATCTATTTTTCAAGCTCCAAAAGTCCGTTCAATCACATTGTGCAGAGATGAATGCCTATAATTAAACAGTTCTTTGGCATTTTGAGGCTCTCTTTCACTTCCTCAGTAATCTTGCAAATGATATCATAGTCCTTTGTATGGAGCTAAAAACACTTTTGTATTTCGGAAACCAGCATCAACAACATAATATTTATCTACCACCAAATATTTTTTTAAAGAATTACTAAAAGCATATGTGACGTAAATGAGACAACTTTGTGTAAATAAATAATATTTTTTCCAAGTAGAGCTGTCAAAATGGGCTGGCCCAACCCAACCCTAATGGGCTAGAGAGTTAAATGGGTTGGGACGGGTTGACCCTTTTAATTGAAGGGCCTATAAAATAGCAGCCCAACCCAGCCCTAACTGGGCCACGGGTTGGGACAGATTGGCCTTTCAACCAAAAAATGGATAATATTTTCCTCTTAGAAAAAAAGAATGCGAGCGTTGATGAATTACACATACTTCAGTGAATATTTACAAAACAAATACATAATAGCCAAGATACAACATTCATAAGTTTCATCCGAGCAAAAAACATTACATGATCACTATTTTCATAAACAAGACAATAAAGGAGAAGTGAAAAATTAGGCATAAAAATAAAAGTAAAAGAGGTCAAAGATTCTTAGTTATAATGGAGTAATGGACCTGGGCTAATAAGAAAATTTAGTGGGCTAATGATCCTAAATTGTAAAAGATATATGTAAAAAATATAGTCTTGATTTTATATTGGTATTTTAAAATTATTTATTGACAAAATCTTAACAAGTAAAACACTACTTAAAATATATATAATAAATATTTTTAAAATTCACAGCCCGCGGGCTGGCCTCTGAGGCTTGCGGGTTGGGCCTACGAGGCTAGCAGGCCAAATGAGGCTGGGCTAAAAAGCCTCATTCCTATATGGACTGAAAAAATTGAGCCCAACCCCATCTAATTCAAGGGTTGGGTTGGACCGGCCTAGCGGGCCAAGCCCATTTTGACAACTCTAATTCTAAGGATGTAATTTAAAGTTACCATATGGCAGAAATGGAAATTGTGCACCGCTTTGGGAACCTCCCCTTCTATATATGTTCCATCAATCGCACCAACACAATCCTATCAAATAAAAAATACTTCAATATTAGTTTAGTGAACATAAACTAAATTGGAAGCATTATAGAATGCACTTCATAAAAATAATGTTTGTAAGAGTAATAAAAATAGTGTTTCCAAGACAATGTAAAGTCATAAAATAACTATTATCTCTTTAAACAAAGTTGATAGGAAATATGTAACTAAATACTAATAACTTACACATAAAATATAAATGTGCACTTATTAAAGCCATAAAATAAATTTATTACTCAACAATCGGTTGGTGTGAGTTAAAGTGACTATATGTTGAGAATAATAAATTTTATGTCGGTGAGAATAATAAATTTTAAAAAGTAATGATGTGATTATAAATTTTATCATATGAAATAAATTGTTAGTAGATATAAATGTGGGGTTGTTTTTAACAAAATATAAACTTGTGGATCAATTTTTGTATTAAAATATCTCAAATCATGATATGGAATTCCCATATAATTCCATATCATGGTTTTTGGAGAATACGGAATCACATCTCATGATATGAAATCAGCGTAAAATCGCATGTCCAAACGTTGATTCCATCTCACGATACCATACTTGGACAAACGCCTACTAAATAATTAGCTCCTAAACTAGTGAGATTTCCGTAAATTACCCTACAACTTTGCATTTGAGTATTGGGCTAAGGCCAGAATGGACTTCTGCGTAAACTAACTTGGGCTAACAACTAAGACGCGGAAGCCCAATCCGTATTTATTCTAATATTTATACCATAAAAGTAGAAATCATTAAGAATTTTGTTTATTAACAAAATCATGGACCTGTCTGGAATCATATCTAGCTTTTGCTTGACAAAAATATTATACAAAACACTTATTCTTAGTGCTATAATAATGCATATATCCATTCGTGTGGGATATAGTTTATATATTAAACTACAAGTACAATAAGGCAAGACAAGACAGGTTGGGCCATAAAAAAAGGAATAATCCAAAAATGAAAGCATTTAAATGCGGGCACTTTTGCCGGCCCATTAAACAATCATGTTCAACCTTTTCTATTCATGTTTGGATGTCAAATAAAGTTGATATACATTTCCTTAAACAAAAATATAATTTTCTTTTCTTTTTCTATGAGACACATTTATTAAAAGTTAAACAAGCAAAGAAAGAAGAATAAGAAATCTTTTATTACTTCTTTAAATTAAAATTTGGGTCGGTATGGCCCGGGGGTATATTAGGAATTTCAAGAAATTATTTTGTGAGTTTTGCTTTTATAAATATGTATATTTCTTGTGACAATTTCATATAATTTCGTAAGTCATATTGATCTGTAATGACTTGTTTTCTTTTCCTTTTCTTATTTTTAACTTTGAAATGATGATCATGATTTATGAAATATAAATTTTTTTTCTCATCTTTGTTGGTAGCTTTGAGATCGATTATGACTATAATTTAGGATCATTAAGTATATAATATGTATATATCAATAACTCCAAACTTGAAAGTTGATTACTCGTGTTACACATTGGGCCACCCCAAAATTCATTAGAAAAGAAATTTTTTAAAAAAAAGATATTTGAAATATGTAATTTTAACCATATGATAACATTTGCGTGCCTATAAACTTTAAAATAAATTAATATCAAGATTAATTTATTTTTAATGTAAACATAAATTAAAAGAAGAGAATATATAAAAGAACAGTTACATGTCGTAAGGTACAAATATTTAAGTATATAGTACAATATCTTTGCATTATATACATTGTTAATTTGTTATGACGTAATGCAAAAGCAGTACTCCAACAATGTTATTATTTATTTATTTATTTTCCCGCCTGGTATCTAGTATCCGACTAAATTTGGATTTGCATCGAAAAGTCTCACATTAGAGGATAAAGCGCTGTTAGGTGATTCCGTATCCCAGGAAACTTCAAACCCGAGAACTTTTGGTTAAGGAGGAAAGAATACTTACCACTTCACTTCAACAACACAATCATTGTTGGTCAACAATATTATTAATTAATATAATACTAATACATTATTATTATTGTTGATTGTCATCTCATATCCACCTATAACTCTATTAAAAATATAACATCTCCAATTTCTTATACCAGTTTAATCTATCCATAAACAGTTTTTTTTTATTATAAAAAGAATCAGTAAATAGACAATAAATAAATATACACCACCTTAAGGTTGAAATGACCTTGCTGACTATCCCTTTGGTTTATATAAGCTTAAATTACGCAATCCATTAATTTTAATTTTTATTAAAAATAAGTCCTTATATTAAGGATTTGGACTTTGAATAACTGCCTGCTGTTCA